AGAATCTTGGACTTTTCTGATTCAACAGAGCATCAAATTGACCAGTGATTTAATTAACTGGACAGAACAGCACATACAGTGTGGGATAATGAATGCTGTCAGTTTAAGCTTTCATCCTAATTTACAAAATGATGAGTAAAAAATGTTTCTTCTTCCTTCTCCTTTCCCCTTCAACTCTAAGAAAAGTCCGGCTGAATAAAACCCAGATCATTGTCTATTGAAGACTACAGAAAAAAATAGCTATTCTTGGCAGTATACATATATCTCAGTGTTTTTGTAGACTGTACATCTACGGGGGGGGGGGAGAGCTAAATTTATCCTCAGAAGCCCCACATAAATATTTGGCTTAAAAACAAAATGTGTACTCCTATGCACCTTCTTTTGTGAAATGTAGGATGGGCCAAGCTACAAAGTTGTTAGTACAGGGAAAGCAGATAGATTGTAGCCCCCAGTAGGTTCTGGGACATTAATAGATCCACCAGTCTTGTCTGTTCATTATACAAAATTAGTGGATTTCTTTGATGGATGCTAATTTGGTACATGTCAGAAACTGTGTGGTAGAAATGGAATTAGAAACCTGGGTTTTTTGTCTTATGAATGTTAGGAACACAGGAAGTTGTCTTGTTCTAAGACAAGACCCGTGGACCCTCCAGCCCAGTAGTCAACATTGATTGGCCCATGGCTCCTCAGTGTTTGAGGATGGAGCCTTCAGGAGGAAGGTAGTTCAGCATATCATGGTGTCATGGAGGCAGATGCAGGTCACTCATGTCCTTAATATTTATTTGAATGAATGAATGAATGAATGGATATTTATTTGAATGAATAAATGAATGAATGAATGAATGAATGATATTTATACTCCACTTCACAGTCAAGACTGGTTACCAAATTAGCTTATAATAATGCCTTGCCTTTTGTCATCCTGCTTCTCCAGGATTTATTGTAATCATATTTTTCTCCAGAGCAACACCTTCACATTTAAGACATTATGAACTGATTTGAGTTACATTATGTTCTTTTGACTACAGAAGTTTTTTTCATAGTGTCTCACCACAACAATTGTTCTCACATCTTTTATGGTCAGGGCCAGAGATCATTCACTAAGCCCATTTTTCTGTCCTGGCTTTGGAGGACGTTTTTCCACATTGCATGTCATTGTTTATCAAATATGATTTTTAAAAAATCCTCAAATCAGCAATTTAGGATCCAGTACAAGTACAGAATATACAAAGATAAAGCATGGTCGGTCTAGCTATTGAACTAGATGCACAAAGATGTGGGAGACCTTGGATCAAATCCCCACTCAGCCATGAAGCTCACCATGTGTCCTTGGTTCAATCACTGTCTTTAAGGTTATCCTACTTATCAGAACTGTGAGATATGGGCCACAGAAGCACTATGACGATGATAAAAATGACAATAAAAGGCAAGGTACAAATATAGAATTTGTGGCCCTCTTCATGTTGGACTGCCAACTCCCACCAACCCAAACTGAGAACCCCAACGAGGAATTGCAACCCAGCAACATCTGTAACCTATGTTACAGTCTCAAAACTGAATGTCTGTGTCACACTCACAGAATTGAATTATCCACACTGAAACAAGGACATTCACTTAAGTTTTCTGTCTCATGAAAATGGCTTTATTGCTCGTCTCTCCAGTAACTATCAGTTCCTGCATTCTGGCCTTTCAGATTCTGTTTCTCAGCAAACAGAAGTTATATAATATCAAGAGACATACGCTGAGTGTGACTATGTTTATGTGGGGGGAACAAGCACGGCCGAAAAGTTAGTTGTGGCAGAAAGACAAGGCTGCAAAGAGATAAAAAGACTCCTAGACAAAGGGTATCCTCAGAAATACCCTGTTTCCTTGAAAATAAGACCTAACTTGAAAATAAGCCCAAGTATGATTTTTCAGGTTGCTTGTAATATAAGCCCTACCCCAAAAATAAGCCCTAGTTAGGTAAAAGCCCACCCTCCACCCTTGTGCAGCAACCAGAAGAAGATAGCATGACTGTATTTGTACATGAAAAGAATAAAACATCCCCTGAAAATAAGCCCTAATGTGTTTTTTGGAGCAAAAATTAATATAAGACTCTGTCTTATTTTCGGGGAAATACAGTAATTCAGGGAGGGATCTATTAATGATATCTATGGCTTGTTGACATCACCTTAATTTTTTCCTGTGTGTTTTTAGATAAACACCAAGTCTAGTTTCTCTTCTCTCGCCCCTGCCCCCATGGACACGGAGAGTCTTCCACATTTTTGGTGTGAGAGAGACTTGGGCTCAGACTACTTTAAAGAAATGGCTTTAATAGATAAAGAAAGAAAGCAGATCAAGTATTACCTAAAATATTATCTATTAAAAATGACACAACATATATTCACTTAGATGATGCAAATTCTTGCTTTGAGTTATAAATTAATGCATTTTAGCGATGAGATTTGCACCTTTGCTCAAGAAATACATGAAGCGGTAGTGAGGAAAGCTTATTAGTGTTTTAAACTGGAAGAGGGAGTTCACTCAGTGACTTATATCATGATTCAAATAACCTTAAATTAATGCTCTTGATTATGCAGTCTACAATTTATAGCTAATACGTAACTGTTAGCATCCCATTAGCTGAACATTTTGAGTTTTAAAGCAGCAATCGATGTTAAAAAGGAGAGAGAGAGAGAGAGAGA